GCTATCTCAGGCCTGGGAAATCACGCTCAGCAGGGCAGGCAGCAAGTTTTTAAAGAAGGTAGGGGGAGGCAGAGCTTAGATTTACAGTGGCACAAGGATTGGCTAGCCTAAGGCACATTTTTCAGGTTGGGAGGGGGCAGCAGCCGGGGACTTTGGCACGTCATCAGTGTCCAACGTGTTCACCCCTCCCTCTGGTGCCTCCAACCTCACACAAACCTCATCATCTTTTACCTGAGTTAATGTCTTCTCTTTACTGCCAATCTGGCAGCCAGAATGATTTTTTAAAACATGTCGGATCACTTCACAAGTCTGCTCAAAACCTTCTGAATGGTTCCCCAGCTAAAGGCAATCAATGCTTCTAGGCCCCTACAAGATCAGCCCCCCACTCCATTACCTCTTATCCTACTACTCCCCTTGCCCATACCCTCTCCTACTCCCCCACACCCACCCCCCATTTAACTTGAGTCTAGCTACACTGACCTCCATGCCATTTCTCAAACATGCCAGACATACTCCTTCCCAAGGCATTTATAAAAATTGATCCTTCTGGAAGACTTTCCTACAGATATCCTCATAACCAACCCTTCTCCTTCCAGTCTTTGTTCAAATGTCATCTTCTCAGTAAGGCTATTCTAAACACCCTATTTAAAAACGGCCCACCCCCCTTCCTTTTACCCTGCTATATTCTTTTTACCACAGCACTTATCCCCTAACAATCCATATCATTTGGTTATATTTGTTGTTTAGCATCTGTTTATCCTACACTAGGGCACATTTATTTATTATCTGTGTTGCCCACTGATGGATTCCAAATACCTAGAATTGAGCCTGCCAAGTAGTACACACTCATATTTGTTGAGTACACACTCATACATGGTTTTATAGTTGTCTAATTAATGTGCATCTGATTCCCCACCCAGGAATGAGTTGGCTTCATTCATCATCGTATTTCCTACAGCCTAGCATAGGATTTGGCATAGAGTAGGCAGGCAAGTGTCTGTTAACTAGAGAATATCATTTTTTTTAAGCTATCAGAAGATAAAAATTTAGAACTGACATTATTCAGTGGTTATAAGAATGTAGGGAAAATCCACCCTGTCATATACTGTTGGCAGGTATGTAAATTGATACTTTTCTTGAGAGTAAACTGTCAGTATCTATTAAAATTTAAACTACTCAGAGCTCATGCCCTTTTAATTCACTGGTCTTACAGAAGTAAGAGTACCTGAAAAATATGTACAAAGATATTTATTACAGCTCTGCTTACAAAATAATGAAAAATTTGAAGCAACTATTTGTCTATCAATAGAGAAACAAGCAAATAAATCATTCATGGTATATACATACGATGATATCCTCTTTAACAACAATGAAGTAGATCTATAACACTGACCTGGAAAGTAGTCCATGATCTGGTACACAGACCAGAGGGCCCTGGCATTAGATGGCCTGGATTTGAACCTTGGTTCCCTCAATTTCCTAACTATATACTCTAGGCACTTTTAACTTCTCTGTGCTTCAGTTTCCTCATCAGTAAAATAGGAACAATAAAATATTATAATCATACCCACACACTGATATGAACATTTCCTGAGATAAATGCATTCAGTGCTTACAGCACATTACATGGCAACATAACCATCTGCAAGTATACAGATGAAAACAGACAAGTTGCAGACCTATGTACCTAAAGCATGTCCATTTCAGAGGGGAAAGGTAGTCTGTCTGTGTAACTACGGAAAAAAGTCAAGGACAGAAAACTTAATAGTGGTTACTTTTCAAAGGTGGGAGGGGACACACTTTTTTAATGGAGGGATTTTAGAGACAGTGTTTTTATATAAAGAAAAGAAGTAAAATCAAAGCAAATGCACCTAAGATATAGTTAAACTTAAAACTTGAGAATGTAAATTGGTTCAGCCTCTGTGGAAAGCAGTACGGAAGTTCCTCAAAAAAAACGCAAAATAGAAATACCACACAATCCAGTAATTCTAGGAATTTACCCAAACAAAATCTATGATTCAAAAAGATATAAGCACCCCTATATTTACTGCCACATTATTTACAATAGCCAAGATGTGGAAGCAACCAAATTGTCCATCAATAGATGAATGGATAAAGAAAATGTGGATATGCACATATACACAATGGAATATTATTTAGCCATAAAAAAGAAGAAAGAAATCCTGCCATTTGGGACAACATGGATGTACCTAGACAATATTATGCAGAGTGAAATAAGCCAGGTAGAGAAAAACAAATACCATATGGTTTCATTTATATGTGGAAGCTAAAAACAATTCAAAACAAACAACATAGCAAAAGACTCAGAAACACTGAGAAGTGACTGGTGGATACCATGGGGGACGGGTTGGGTTTGGTGGTGAAATACCTTCATTTTGTGGCTAACAAAATCTCAGTATTTATTAGTCACAGGGATGAAAATACAGTACAGAGAATATAATCAATAGTTCTGCAACATCCTTCTATGTTGACAGATAGTAACTACACTAGTTGGAGTAAGCATTTCATAATATACATAACTGTTGAATCACTATGTTGTACACTTGAAACCAATATTGTATATCAACTACACCTGAATTTAAAAAATCAAAAAAATAAATGAAATATTAAAACTTGAAAATTTTTACATTCTATAATAGCTTTTGAATTCTCATGGTAAAACGGAATAATCAGCTGAAATTTGGCTGTTAAAATTATATTTATTCTGAATGAGTAAACTAAGATGCACATCCAAAAGAAATTTTTTCAAAAAATTTACAAAACAGTAAAAGAAAATTACTACATTCCATCTTGTCAATGTACAGAAAAATCAATTCTTTTCTTAATCTACCATTTCTCTCTCATGAAAAACAAAGATACCTTTGAAAAGGAAAAGAAAACAATGACAACATAAAAGACAACTGCTTCTAAAATGGGATAACAGCAATATTAAAGTAAAAAACTAAGCAGTTATCTTTTACCACTTTGACTCAAAAGAATTCTGCAAGTTTTTTTTTTTTTAAATCAGAGCTAGGAAATTTGAGTGTGCTTAAAGCTGAAGTGTTAAGAAGTGATCTATATTAAGTTCAACCTAAGAAAAATTAAATCCCCAAGATGAACTTCTAAGAAGACACTCAAAGCAGTCAAATATACCATATTTTCTTGCCTTTTGTAAACAGCAACGGTAGCTGCTCATTTACTACACTAATTGAAAATAAATACTGCAATCTATGCAAACTGTAACTCATCCTAGAGTCGAAGGATTTGAAAAACAGGGAATAAACCTGTATTAAGAATAGCAAGAATACAAGACTTCCTAAAGCTAGTTTTTCCTAGCCTCTATCAAGTGCTTAGTCACTTCTGCCTATTTACAAGACCAGTTCACATCTTGAAAGAGACAGGGAATTTTAATTCCAGACTGTCATGTCACCTGAGCTGCCCCTAGACATTTGTTTCCATGCAACTAAGAGAAGGCAGCAGCCAGCTAAGCATACCTACCAGATCAGAACCAGAAGCCACTGGGGCTCTCTGTATTCTGCTTCTGTCTGCAGTTAACAAAGAGGGGTTTGTGCAAAAGCAAAGTTTTCTTCTCTGACACCAAAAGCAATTAGATGAAAATTAAAATGTACCCTGAAAACATCTGTTTCCTCTCTCACACAGCCCACCAGAAATACCTCCCTTCTCTTTTACTGAAACAGAAACAGCAAGCAGGATTTTCATACAATTACAGTTGTGTATACTAAACATCTCTCCTTAGACAACTAACAAAACCTAAAACCAGAAGCTGACGGGTTTTGGAGCACAGGACCAAGAAAGCAGCTAGCCTTAAAAATCTGATAACACTGTGTCAGGTTCCCCAAAATCAAGAACAGAGAGAAAGATTTTCATGAAAGGCTATTTTAAAGGACAACTCTAGACAAAGGCAACTTTTTAAGTATCTACTATGTGCTCAGCACCATATCTTAACATTCCACTCACCCTTAAAGATGCTAAGCACAAAAGCTGATTATACAAATACACCTGAAAGAACTTCCTCAACTTGATCCGGTAGTACTCTGCCAAAGACCAAGTACATTCTTTCCAAATATATCTCCAGGTAGTAAAATCTAGAAAGATGTGGTCAGTCCCTAAAGCAGAGCTTAAACCCTCTTCCCAGAAGGTCATGAAGGACTCTGACAACCAACTTGGTTTATTTAGGATGGAGCTCTTTTTCCTTCCAAGAATGTGTTATAAAAGACACGTTTCCTAGACTTCAGCATTCTGAAACACCATTCTCATTACTACCAAATAACCCGGTAATACTACTAATCAATTTCCATACATATACGTTGCCATCTTTATAAATTAAATACAAAGGCATGAATTCATCACTTTTCATGAGTAAGAATACTTAAGTTCAAAGAAGCTAAGAAATTTGCCCAGAGCTTACTGGCAAAGGATCCAGGTCCTTTAGACTCTCTGGCCCCAGCACTCACCATTAAGCCACATGCCTCTCAAGGAACGCTACTAAAAACAGTTACTGACCCCAACTAATTTTGTCACAAAAGTGGGTGCAAAGAGCTCTGTAGCATGGACTGGGGTGGGGAAGGGGAGGGAACACCACGACTACCCAAGCAGTTTTGTTTTGTTTTTAATGAATATAGCACAAGTTCCCGATTCCCATCTTCCCCACAGTCAGAACCCACGTGCTGGTACCACCGTAGCTCCCTCTCCACGCTCTCCGGATTCTGCCCGGTCCCCCGCCGCAGCCTCCCCACGCCCTTCCCTCGGGCCTCCGGCCAGAGATGCGGCCGTGCCTCCCGCCCCCTCCCCGGCGGCAGTCGCCCCGGCCCCTTAGCCGCCCTCGCGCGCAGACGGCGCCGGAGCCCGCGCGCTCCCGCCTCTGCGCGGCAGGGTCACCCCCGGGCCGGCGCGCGCCCTTCCAGCTGCCCGCAGGTCCTCCCGCGACGCCGGCGCTGGGCAGGCCGCGCCCGACGCGCCTGCCATGGTGGGCGCCTCACCGTCAGGCTGAGGAGCCGGGCCCGGCTGCGCCATGGCCTGGCGGCCGGCCTCGCTTCTCGAGGATGGGCAGGGAAGCAGCGTCCGGGCTCCTGGGGGTTCAGCTGTCGAGAGAGACGTCGACCAAGCCGCCGCCGCCGCCGCCGCCCAGGGAGAAACCGCTAAGGCTGGAGCCACCGGCGCCTCCACAGCCGCGGGCAGAAACGGACCCGAGCGCCGACCTCCGCCTCCTCATCCTGACAGCGGGAAATAAGCAGTGCGCAGGCGCCGTGGGATGGGGCGGCACGTGACGTCGCCCTGAGGGGAGGGGAGGGGCTCCGTGAGGGGAGGAGAACCAGGAGCAGCGGATCCCGGTGCGGGAGCGCGGGAACGAGGCAGAATAGAGGAGGATGGGGAGGGATACAGACAAGAGAGCAGCGGCGGGAATGGGCTGGCTTCTTAGAGGGACCGCACCCATTCTTGCGCCCCAGCACAGGGGCAAAGAAAAATAATAAAAAGAACGAGCGAGTTGGCCGGATGGTGAAGTGAGTGCAAATCCAGCCTCTATTCATCTAGCTGTGTGACCTTTGGGCTAGTCACTTAACCTCTGAATCCCACAGCCTTCATCTGTATAATAGCTAAGAAAGTTTAAAGGAATTAAGGTTTGAGGAGCTGTCTCAAATGTACTTTCCACCAAGCACCTATGTTCAATGTAACATCTAGATGCCAGACACTGACAGACGCTGGGGATGCAGCCTGACACAGCCCCTGCACGCAGGATGGGTGAGGAGAGATGACACAGACAGTACTTCCCTAATACCTGGGAAAGAGAGCCTCCCCAAGGCCCCACATTTTCTAGGCTCTCTTCTAGCCTCGCTCTGGCCACACTCCTCCCACAGGGTGAGGAGCCCACAGAGTCCAGGGACCATGCCCATCTAGCACCTGGGCCTCTCTTCCAGGACTAAGTTCTGGGCTCCTGTGACCCCAGAATTCTCTCTTCAAATGGCTGGAGAATGTGGCCTCTTCCCCCAGGTCCATCCTCTCCAGGGCAGAGTCTGAGCATCCCTAAAAGTGGCTAAGGGGCAGCTGTTTGAAGAGATAGCACATCACTTGGACATCTGAGTTGCTGTGTCCACAGATCCCTAGTGCAGGACAGAGATGAGAAAAGAAGGCAGGTGGGCAGAGGGCCAACAGTCCAGCCAGGACCAGCACTCCCTTCACCACCTCAAAGTGCATAAATCTGAGGAGTCCTGGAATTCTAAATTTGAACTTGGTCTTCTGCATCATTAAAGATGTATATTTGTCAAGGGACTCCTTTCAGGTTATATGTTTCTATTATGTATCTACTACTCTCTACAGGCTAAATACATCTAGAAAACATCAGGTACCACCAGAATATGTTAAGGTTAATGGTTAGTGGAATGATTTATAATTTTAAATAATTTAGGTAGACAAGTGGCATCTATTTGTGATTTAACCCCAAATCCTGCTAATGTTAGGGGAGAACCTAAATGCAGACTTGAGTTTTTGAGTAGTTAATATCCTTGGATGTCTGGGGTGCCTTTAAAAGAGCAATCAAGGTTATCCCCAACTCCCCATAAATGGCTTTCCCATGCTCGAAAGGAAGACCTTTGTCCAGGATAGGGCAGCCCAGTGAGTCCTGTCTTATGATGACTAATGCGAGGCAGGGGCCATAAAGATAGCATATGCTGATACCCATTACAGAAGGGGCTCCTTCCAGTAAGAGACACATGTATTGCAATGGGTAATCTGGGGCTTGAAGCCAGGCCCTCAAGATTAAGGTCACTCAGAAATGATCAGTGTGTTGGTTTGGACACCTAGAGCACCCCATGCCAAGGAGGTGGTTGAAAAAGAAATTTTGAAATCAGGTAGAAGCATGCAAGAGCTATGAGCACATTTTCATATTTTTAGGTAACTCCTAAGGCCCAAAAATGCCATCCCTAGGTATATATTCTAAAGAAAGCTAGTGTGTGTTCTCAAAACCTATATATATTAGTGTAAAACACATGATTCTTGTATTCTGAAAGCAATTGGGAAATAAGATTTAAACACATGAAATAATTACTTACAATTACATTGCATATGTGCCTGGGAGAAGAATACTCAAGCTGGCATGGTTTATAATACAATAAGAAAAAAAAAACCCAATGTTCATCAACAGTAGGTTATGTTTTAAAATATTCATACAATGGATGAAATACTCTACAGCAATCATAGCGAACAAACCACATCTACATGTTCAATGGAGATAAATCTCAAAAACTAAATTTAAAGAGAAGCAAATTAAAAAATAATATGTACAGCATGATTCCATTTATATAAAGTTACAAAATCTGGGAAACATGTAGTTTAGGTGAGAAAGATTTGGGGGTATTTGCCAATTACAAGCTTAAAATGAGCAAATTCAATGCAACTGTTGGAAAGCACTTATTTTGTGCTTTATTAATGGAGTCACAGAGTGTAGATTATAGGAGGTGACACCTCTCCTGCACTTTGCCCTGATCAGGTCACATCAGCGGTGTTGGCTGTGTTTGTTCTGGCACCATTATTTGCTAGGGATACTGATCAGCTGGAGTGGGTGGAGCCCACGGAATGAAGAATCTAAAAATAATTTGGTGCAAAGTGCATGGAGATATCAGAGGAAGGTATCCTGGAGGAAAAAAAGATGACTTGGACCTTGAAGACTGTCTTCAGATCCTGTACTGTATGCCCAAAGACTGCAACAAGACAGACTTCAACTCAACCTAAAGAAAAACATTTTCTCTGTCAGAGCCTACCATAAAAAGTGCTATCTTTCAGGGAGTAAGCTCCCTGCCACTGTAAGTGTACATGTAGAGCTAGCTAGCAATTGGTAGAGGTACTGTAGAAGGATTCCTGCTACGTTTGGGGGATTAGACTACATCATTTTTACAGTCATTTTCAGCCTCAAGATTCCATAATACTAATGAGAGTAATTAATTTGCTGCATTTTAAAGTTTACTAGGTGCTTTCCCATGTATTATTACATTTTACTCCTCACAATAACCCAAAAGGTGGACAATAGGCACAGAGTAGATAAACCAACATTTGCTGGATAAATTCCATTTAAAAATCCTGTCCTGTGGTTTCAGTTTGTACTTACAGAAACCACAGGACACAATGTCCAGGTGTCCCAACATGGAGTTCACTGATAGTACTCAGTAGTATTGGGGTTCTCTCTCTCTAGGACCCAGAGTCTCAAGGGTGGGAGAAGAGTCAGGACACCATACTTCTCTGGCCTTCAACAAGGGATGGCTTTGGTAGAGGTTATGGGAGAAGGAGAGGAATCAAGGGGACTTTCCCCCAGGGACCCTGTCTGCTTCCAGGCACATGGAAACATGGAAATTCCTAACCTGGGTACTGGTTCCCAAGAAGAGCCCATGAGGGACAAATGCCATTATGCCCTCAGCCATAACGGTCCTTCTCTCTCACTATCCCTGATCTATTTGACACAAGCAGCTACCTCTCTCTCCTGAGACCTGGAGTGGGTAGAAAGTGACTGTTGATCATCACTCCAATCGATCCTTACCCTCATCCCTCTCCCAAGTGAGAAGTGTACGGGAGAGTGCCGCAAACAGAGATGACTTCTCTCTCATACTCTCATGAGATACAGGTTGATGTCCCGGGCAGAGCTCCAGGCTTAGAATCAGAAGACCTGGAATTCTGGCACACATTAGCTGTCAACCCAGCACACATTATTTGACCTCTTTGAGCCCCTATTTACTTACCTTTAAAATGGGGATAATAGACTTTCCTCATGGCACATCAAGAGGACTAAAGGGATAAGGTGCCTAACTCCTAACCTATGGTAGTTGCTCTATAAATGTCTGCTTCCTCCTCTCCTCTCCTTCTCTCCTTTCCTTCCTTTTTTCCTTGATCAGTAGTTTCCATCCTGGAAAGAAGAGTCCCTGGACATTAGAAATCAGTCTGTGAAGGTATTCCTAGAGATCCAGGGCAGAAATTTTCAATATTCTCAAAGCCTAAAGGATTATACTAGATAAACATTATACTAGATAAGGTGCCAAGTCTAAAATGTTAAGTTTCCTTGCTTTGGACAGATATTATATCACATTGCTTATCTCATGATGCTAAGAAGTTCTTATGTCAGTTCTGTGTGAGCTGTTGATTAATAACACAGTCGGATCCATTATGACTTCATATATGAAGTTTGCTAAGTACACAGGTATCTTTAGACCTGGTGGGTGCTCCCTTCTCTTGGAATTCCCCTTTTATAACATTGGCCACACCAATAGCATAACCACCTGGAAATAAAAATGGATGACATTTACTAGTGTGCACCATGTGCCAGGCACTGGGCAATGTACTTTATCTTTGTATGGACTCACTTAGTCCTTTAAGAGCCTTATGATGAGGATGGGGGTAGGGGGACATGGGAACTGTTGTCAACTCATTTTGTGGATGATGGGACCAAAGAGGTTAAAAAACTCATCCAAGGTCCCAGAGCTTGCAAGTAATAGAGCTGGAAATCAGACCCAGGTCTAATAGCCATGTGGGTAATTCCCATGCTTACACTGCCAACTAGCTATGTGTCTCTGTCTCACTGAGGGAAGATGTCAATTCCCAGAAAATAGGGACAGTCATTTATTTCTAACATTGTATGGGCTAGTGTCTAACATAGGTAGGGCTCAATAAATACTTATTGAATGAATGAGAGATTAAATGGATGAAAAAATGATTTAACACTTGGAACATACGGAGCAAATAATGAAAGGATCCTTGGTGGTGGGAAGATCTACAGTTTGCAGATCAAATCTGTGTGATTCAATTCTCTTCGGTCAACATTCATCTGCTTCTCATTTCTAACTGGGTTACAGACCATAATTTTAACCATCACTACTGATAATAATTTCCACCACTTAACTGAGCACCCTCTATGTGCTAGAGATTTTACCTGTATTATCTCAATCCTCATAACAGCCCTCTGCAATAAGTTCCATTTATTATTCCAGAGTTCAGAGAGGTTAAATGATCTGCCTAAGTCATACAGTGCACTGGAGAACCAGAATTCAAATCTCTCTGACTCCAAAATGTATGTTTTTTTTGCCATCAGTGCTGGCTAACCATGTCTATCAGATATCAGCAAATACCCCTGCACTGCTATGCCATTATCAACTGAATTCATTCTTAGAATGTTCTATGATATTTCCAGAAGTTACTTTCCTTTCCATTTCTAGTTTATTTTTTTCAAATTACTCATGTAAGATTCTAGC